AACTATAGAGACAGTTGGAAACAGCAGTTGAACTCTGAGTCTCTCCCTCTTTTCTCTGTTGCTTTGGGGGTCCTCAAACCTCATGGTCTCTTCTGAGACAAGCCCCTGCCTGCTTTAACACCATCTCACCCCTCATTGTGGCAAAAAAACTATTTTTCTTGTGAAAGCTGTGAAAGTGAGGACCATGCGATGAGGTTGAAAGCTGGTGAACAGACCTTGAGTCGAGATTATTGGTATCGGGCCAACTGTTGGCCCTCGTGACTGATTTCTCGTTCGTCACTTCCCAGAGTTGGGTTATGAAATTAGCACATGACATTGTGACATTTGGTTATAAGTCAGCAAGAGGGCAGCCTCTCTCCCGTTGTTGGTATCCATGATGATGTAATGTCATTTATTCAGATTTAGGGATTGCATCGGTTTGACATTGGCTCCGTAAAGCTTCTGTCTGCAAGTAATGACTGGAGAAATATCTGCTAATAAATCTGTGATATGTATCGTGGTACAGGTATGGACTGGATTAACCGGTCAGATGTTCAGTTCCTTTCAGTAAAACAGCATGGTTATGACATGAGTAAATACAAATGTATTTTATAAGCATTATATTGCTAAATCATATGCATATCATATGCAAATCATGTTGCCAAGGCATTTATGTATCCCTTACATTTGTATTACATGTTCTTTGGCTTTTTCAGCATCATCACTGTAGGATAGAAACATCATCTACTGTGCTTTTTACACTTTTCTCAAATCTGTGTCCAACTGTAAATGTGAAATATCTTCTACAATAGATTTTATTGTGGCCATTCAGCTTTCTGTGTGAAAGCCACAACTCAGCAGACGACTTACAGAGTTGCAGCTCTAGCAGTAAATTGAATGTCAAATTGAAAAACCTGTTAAAGCTACTCAACTCTGCAACCATTATCATTTTATAATCAATATAATTTTGCTAAGAAAAGTTGTATTTGTTTTCCAAATATCATAATTTTGAATTTGTCTAACATACTCATAGTGCTGACCAGGCGTTTGTGTGATGTATTAATGTGTCATGTCAGTTGATTAGCCATATGCAAATATTAGTACGGTGCATCTAATGGTAACGCACTCAAACAGTGTAGTGCTGTTTGTGGAAATACTGGATCACACTTACAACACATGCCTTCGTGCATGTGCACAGATACTTAAGTCTTGTTTTGAAGGTTATGGCAAGTTTACAAATCAACTGTTGGACTGACTTTAATGATTAGACTGGTTGTTGTTAGTGTGGCATTAAAGGTCCAGTGTGTAAGATTTAGGTGAAAGGATCTATTGGCAGAAATGTAATGTAGAATAATCCTCATGATGTTTTCACTAGTTTGTTTCACCTAAATTGTATGAATTGTAGTTTTCTTTACCCTAGAAAAGGCACTTTATATTTAAATACTTTATATTTATATCGAGGAGACCCTCTCTACGGAGGCCACCATGTTTTTTACATTAGTCCAGACTGGACAAACTAAACACCTTTTGAGTTTTTATGACAACTGAAGCTACCACAGGTTCTTTTTCATGTTTGGAAGGGGAGGGTGAGGGGATGGGTGTTCAGCTGCAACATGCAACTTCATCACTAGATATCACTTAATTCTACACACTGTACCTTTAAGTAACAGGAGCTCTCTTTATATTATGACTTACATGAGAGGTAATAGAAGAAGTTTCCTGATTTGATCCAACCTTTAAAGGTGTTTTTCTGCCTCTTGGTGACACATGTATCAAACTTATTAAGCTCTCCAAATATATAATACAAAGAATGATAAATACTGGGGGACTGCTGTTGTTTCGATCAAACCATAGTGTACCGCATCAGCTATGCACCAACACCTTCCAGTCCAATAACAATGGCCCCAGAACTCTTGGACATCGCGTCAAAGACTGGATCTGTCTCCTCTATCAATGTCTTCTCTTCGCTGATGCGATGTAGCATCAGAGCAGAGCTCGCCTACATGCTCGGCAATCAAAGCTCCATTTTTAGCTGACTGCAACAAAAGGTGACGTGAGCCTGGTGAGAAAAATCACTCACTCTGATTATGTAACACGTCCCCTGAGTGTGTTAATGTGCTTTCTGAGTTATTGCCATTGTTGTGGCTCTGGCAGAGGTTAGCCGGGCAGAAGGAAGGCCAGCAATTTAACAGCATTGTTAGTTAACCACAAATGTAAAACTTTTACATCTGTTGAAAGATAAGATGTTAGTTCTAAGAAGCTTAGTTGACGTGACTTGTTGAAAGTTGGGATTTACTCAATTAAGTTAAGCCTTGTTTTATTGAGGTTCGATGGATGGTTTGTTCAGGTTTTTCTGTTATTAGAAAATCAAAAACAGATGTATATAATCTGGGACATTCCTGCACAACTGTCAGGGGGATTCCTACTTGTTACACTTCTTGGAGGGAAGCTGCATTAAAACATTCGGTGTCCTCAATTCAACTTGAGGTTCAAAGGCCATGAAGCAAACCAGACGGTGCCCTGACAGCTGATCAGCTTTTTGACCTCACCGTGTCAATCAGATGCTTAATCGTTCCCAGTATCACTGCATCCAAGCTGATGAGTTAAAGCAAAAGTGCTGCGACTGCAGCTTAGAAAACACTGGTCTAACCTTCCAGCTCCAAAGAGTGAACCTTCCCAAATATGCCTTCGTAATTCTTCAACATGTGACAGTTGGTGTCAGTACTCTCTGTGAAGGTGATGGACAGATGCAACAGCAGTCAGCCAAGACTACCACTGAATACAATCGATAACTTATGCCATTTTCAACAATGCAGGGGATTCTCCAGCACAACAATCCAGAAATCTCATTTGAATCTCATTGTCTTTCCAAGATGACGTCTCCGTCCATGTCTCCATGTGTATGGCTCCTGTTTTTCATCATTACATATTTGTTTTATTTTGATACTTTAGTTTTGCGTCTGTTCCGTGTTAGAAATGTTATCAACAGGCCCACTCGCTCACGGTGAATCCTCTGGGTAATGTCCTGCTGTGTTCTCACATGGGCTCATTCTGACATTATCTGGAGTTTTTACTAGGGGGGGTGGCAGGAGAAAATGTGTCCAAATTCCACTTAGTCTAACAGCAGGAGAACAGGTTTGCTGTGACAAATGCATTGTTCAAAAAGATTACACTGAGGAAGGAATGCTCTCATTGTGCACCCACACACGTAGGCATGCATTACTACCTTGATGAAATACTGCTCCAATAACGTCAGACCAGGTTCAAGATAATGTGACTGACTATACATTTCAGACCAATATGTCACAGATGTGTAGATAGAAGTGCATTTGCTATTTAAACAACACTGGATTGAAAAGTGACAACAGTTTATAACCATCATTACAATAACCATTACCCCATATATATATATATATATATACCCATTGGTCAGCAGCATTTTGGATGATCAAGTGATGTCATTCTCTTTATCCACTACTTGCCATTTATATAATTGAACAGAAACGCTAGACGATGTGTGGCTGAGATATTTTTCCTCTGAAGTGTAATTTTCCCTCAAAATGCACGAGGAGGGCCTCTAAATGCACCGTGTATTTTATATTTCCAATTTGGACTCTTGAACATTGCACACCTTTTAGGCCAATAAAGTGCAGGACATGCAAGCATGTGCTATGTGGTCCCATTAACGTTCCCATTTACTTCGGTGAGAAATGGGTCAGGAGGAGAGGGTATTCTTCTTCACCTGCAGATCATACAAAGAAGTTGTTCAAAACACCTGGAAGGCAGGCATCATTCTTACGAGCCGATGTACTCGGTAGAGTGTTTACTGTTCTTTAATAAGCTGCCTGAACGGTCTTTTCCTCTTCACTGCTGTGTGGTGTTTGGAGATTATTGTGATTATTTTAATTAGACTTTTAAATCCTACCAGCATCACTCACCTCCAACAAAACGACAAACAAAATGACATCTGTTATGACGGACCTCTAGTGAACCACAGGTCTTGGAACTGAAAGGAATCATCTTGTCATTTCATCACCCTCATGATGTAAAAGCTTTGTTGTAAAAAATATAGACACATCTTGTGCCACAATGACTGTTACACAATAAGCAGGCAAGCTATGCTATTATATTGTTGTTTTTTGAAACTGCTACAGATGCAGATTAAACTGAGAAGTCTGAAAATATTAACACTCACAAACTCTTATTGATTGGGTCTTTTCAGTCATGACTTAACATTTGCTGATTCGTCATGCTCCTATCACATGGAAAATCAATTACAAGAGAAGCTGACCCTGTTTTCTTTACAAACAAGTGTCGTGCAGTTAAATTCTGTATTTTACAGTGATACAACTTCTTACATGTGAAGGTTATGAGCTACTATTCAAGCAACTCCTGGGTACTCATGCCCAGGTTCCTTTGAGGTCATTCTTTTGTTTGATTTTGATTTCGGTTATTTTGATGCAATTGATGCATGTTTTGTTCAGCATTTCCGAGTTATCTGGTGTGTTTTAGATGCTTAACGTTGCATCATCAGCAAAACGCATATTTCTCATTACTTTGAGTGGAGTTATTTCCCCTCTCATGTCGCCTGGAGCTCACTGCAGCTGTGTGATGACTCAATACTGAGATTCTCCATGTGATAGGTTATACAAATCAAAACAATGATGCTAATAATGTTATCTAATATCCCACAGACATCTGGGGAGATAGTGGAGATTATCTTGTTTCCTCAGGCTTAACGTATTTGAAGCACACACTCTCATCAGATCCGTATCCACGCATCACTCAACCTTCAGGTGTTGAAACAGACTCACCTTGAGGGAATTTGATTTTATGTGATTCCTCCTCTTTTATTAACTGTTGCATCTTAGTAGTTTATAAAAAAAAATGAAAACACTTCCAAAGTCTCTTTTTTCATTTTAAAGATTACTTTCAAAGGTTTACCCAACTTAGCTTGAGTGCCGTTTAAACATTGCATAATATTTTTGGGAAATTACATAATGTGTTTTTCCCCCTTTCAGATCGAAAAGAGAAATGTCTCTGATGCAAGAATCGGGGCGCAAGATTGGCAGGTATGTGGGTTTTTTTTTTAGTTCAATTAGAACGATAACAGAGACGAGACAAAAGAGTATATTGAAGATTAAAGCAGCATGACTGGACTTAAAGGCACATGATCACATTTTAATCACATTATTGTGTGCAGTATCTCGAGAGGAGGAGGATGGGACGCTTCTGGGTATTCAACTAAGCCCAATATAATCCATTCTTATCCTTCAGACTTATGAAGTTCATATGTAGGGTTAGGATTCAGTATATACTCTGTAGTGCTGTCGAAAAATTGAACAAATAATGAAGGTGGATGATTTATATCAAATGTATATTTATATTCATAAGCTTTTTGTGTGGCATACAAAAGCGCTGCAGCACATTGCTGTGGTGGCAGTGGCAGCAAGAGATGTTCGGGTTGTTCACTGTCTGCAATAGCTACTTCCGCCAGATGTAGGTAGTCTGCGTGAATGTGAGGTAATCTGCCTCAAAGCACTAAGGCCGAATTCTGAATTTAATTATGACCCAGACTTTGAAAAACAGAGTCTACAGATGTGCCGGCACAGATGTAATATGAGCTAGATGCCAACATTAGCATGCAAACATGCACACACTGAAAATACTACCAAGCTGATGTTAGTGAGGTGTAATGGTTACCATGTTCACCATCTCAGCCTTCACACCACATTTTCGTTTGAACTCAAGTGTAAAGATTGATTTTTGCTCCTGAGTGAAAGTTGTGCATTTAAACTCTTGATTAACAGACAAACATTATATCAATATATATGTTGAAAGTAAAATGGCATAAAGTGTTTCAAAATGCAATGATTGTGCAAAAACATGGACTGGAAAAAACTTGCTGCACATTTAAGTCTAAAATGCTAAATAAACTCTCAAACTGTTGTTTCCCACTAGCCCCATATTCAAGAGGAGTCCAGATATGACTAAAGCCTGGGGCACAAAGTCAGAGCAGCTGCTGAGGATAGACGACCACGACTTTACGATGCGACCGGGATTTGGAGGTAAGGAGCTTCATCTTTCAGTTTCGATCACTTGTCATGCAGGCAGCCATTAGACTACCTCCTCTATCCAAATATTCTTTTAATTCGGCGTCCAAACAAGTTAATAGCCACAATCTATTATTCTTTTAGACTTTACGCTAAACCTCTACCTATATAATTTGGTCTATACACACGTCTAAAGTGCTTGTATTCAATTCATACACAGTGTCCAGCACTGGCTTGTAAAGATGACGTAACCAGAGTAGGATTATGTCTGAGTCACGCTGCCATGGGCCAGCGATTAATTACCAAGCGGTCGCTGTCCGTAGCTTTGGTTTTTCGATAACTCCAATCTTAATCTGCCACATTAGCAGGGCTGAAAGCCCGAGTCTGTGTCCTTTTTAAACTCTCACACTTGTATTCCCTCCGTACATTTAAAATCTCAGATTGGAGGTCTTGTAATGCCTTCACCCAGCAGGCTTTGATACGTCTTTACTGCTGTTAAACAGGAACATTTAAGCCGGATGGAGTCTGATTAGTTACTGAAGGTTTCTGTGTTAAACTGTCTTTAATCTTAAAGTGCATAGTATGGATAGAGAAAGATGAGTTTCTTTAAAATCAACAACTTCCACACAGGATCTCTGGAGCTCTTGTTCACCTCTCTTATTGAGGTGGACACAATCTGCGCTCTGAGCTCTGCAGGCAGCTCCTTCCACCTCTGACATCCATTTTCAGGAGTGGCGTGCTGCAGCCGCTAGTACCGCCTCCCGTAGACCAAAGACATGCAGAGGGGTTAGGTTAACTGCAGACTCTAAATCAGTGGTCACCAGTAGTTACATAGATGATGGATGGAAGCATCTTCAGCTGTGAGCGCTTGTATAGACAAATGGTGAGTGTATATAATCAAATCATGTTGAATCAGTTGAATATACAGGTTGACTCTGGTCAAGGTTTAGAAACATCTCAAAGATGATGAATGAGAGTACAGGGTTCTTTTTTTTCATTTACTATATATTTAACAAAATGAACTTGTTCAGGGACAGTATTTTACATCCAACAGAATTATATAGCTGAACAACACTTAACCTTACTTTTTAATGAAATATGAATAGGAGGTTGTGGGAGCAGGGTTTAATTAGATGTTCATAGAAACAAAAGACCTACCTACCCAATGTTATGGAATTTTCATATACACTGTCTGTTGTCCTCTCTGGGGCATAGTGCAACAGGCTGTTGTGTTTGGGAAGTGCAAGAGCTTGGAGAAGGTCAAAGGCTTCACTCCCTCGACATCACAGATATGAGACTGTGTAAGCAGGCAATGCTGTCTCCATAACTGGAAAATACATTTGATTGAAAGTGTGACTGCAGGAAAGCAGACTTCAGAATATGAGAGAGCATCATGCACATATGTCGTGTGGATGAATTCTGATTTTCTCCTCGGCCGAGCTTCAATAAATATTTCAGCATAAGACATCAAAGGGCACCTGAATGCTTTCTTCACTGATGAGTCGACCATTGATCAGCAGATTTTCCACAAAAATCAACACTAAAACAACAAGCTGAATGAGACTAACTACTACAGTCCAAGTTGTGTGCTCACAAAACAATGTTTGAAACAGCACAAATAAGGAAAAAGTTTTAAAAAAACGTATACTACAATGCACTCTACCGTCAATTAGGATTAGGGTATACTCACTCTGTGCCATTTCTGTTTTGAAATCTGCACCCAACTGCTTTTATGGGGATTTGGATGAAAGACAGCAGAAGTTGTTGTTGGATGCAAAGGGTTTGGCTTAAAAAGGAACTATGACCTCTAAATAAACAGATAATCCAGACAGTTCTGAATTAGGCAGTTGGGTTACATCTGCACTTTCTCCATCCATTGATGTCTTTTATAATAATGCCCATGTGAGCTGCTCTGAATACACGGTGATGCATCTTTCTCTAGGCCCTGCAGTCCCAGTTGGAGTGGACGTGCAGGTTGAAAGTCTGGATGCAATTTCAGAGGTTGATATGGTATGTCTGGACCGAGCTGTGAGTAACACTTTACTGCTTATGTGGTCTGTCAATAACAAACTGAAGCACACATGTGTTTTTGTTTCAGGACTTCACAATGACCCTGTACCTGAGACACTACTGGAAAGATGAACGCCTGTCCTTCAGAAGCAATAAAAACCAGAGCATGACTTTTGATGGCCGACTGGTGAAGAAAATCTGGGTACCCGACATGTTTTTTGTCCACTCAAAGAAGTCCTTCACACATGACACCACGACTGACAATGTGATGCTGCGAGTTTACCCCGATGGCAAAGTCCTGTACAGCCTCAGGTAATTCCCACTGTCAGCAGGACTCAGCACTCAGCATGTATGAAATCACAGAGATCCGTTGTTAAGTCAGCACTGATTTAATAGGGATTGTCCGGACTCCGGGGAAACACATTTGCTTTCTTTCCAAGTGTGAGATGGATCTGCCAATAGTGGGACAATGTTTTGTGACTATTTCTTGGCAGCAGTGACTGTTGGTAGTTTCCCAGGGTCCCCTCAACAGTGAGGTTGCCAGGTTTGGTACGTTCATCTCTGCACAATAATCCCAAAAAATTAATAAATAGATCAACATTCTCAGTGTCTCCTACATCGAGTGTAAAGAGATGTGTGATCATATTCACATTCATCATCACAAGCATGTCGCTGGATCCATATTTTAATACACAGATTGAAATCCTAATAGTGTCATATATATAATTTTATTAATTGGCCTTCTTATGCATTGCACAGAGGGTGAAATTATCCCACAAATACGACAATTATCATAGATTTGGCAACAGAGACCAAAAAACAAGTTCGATTTCAGAGTAAAACAGAAAATAACAAGTTCAATGTTCTAACAATTGCAAGCTCAAATTCCTAACTGGAATAAAAATCTAAAAAGATTTGATTTCAGCTTTGCCTTGTGTTGTTTGTCATGCGGGGACAGGGCGCTTGTAGGATGAATTTCTGTCAGGCTCTCACACAGATTAAAGGGACAGTTCACTGAAAAGTGATAATTCACTCATTATCTACTCACCACTATGCCGATGGAGGGACGGTTGAAGTGTTTGAGTCCATAAAGCATTGCTGGAGACTCAGAAGTAAACTTGAAGTAACTGGTGACCAAGACTTCAGAGGTAATAAAACAACAGAAAAAACTGAACATGCCTCCATACTGCTCGATCGATGTCATCCAAGTGTCTGCAAGCCTTGACATTCATATTAGACTCGAAACAAGATAATTTACACCAAGTTTTAAGCCTTAAAGTACACTGAGATCTCCGCAAGGTGCATTCAAGGACCCTAGACACAACATCATGTAGCTAAGTCTGCTGGTTAAGCCACTTCCGGTGGACATTTACAAGACTCAGCAGATTTGTGACGCAGCCGTCACACACTGCCTAAACATTCAATACAGCCTGGGCAAAACAAAGAAAACTAATTTAATTTATACAAACACTGTTCAGGTTATGTTAGTGTGCACTCAGGGATGTAATTGCCATTAGCCGTCCCGCCAAGACAAAGTGGCACCAGCTGCCACAGTTCAAGATGTGTATTTAAGGGGATAACATTCTGCTAATATTGGCCTCTTATACTGCTGAGCATGACCTAGTCATTCTGGTGAGCAGAACAAGGCTCAGGGCCAAGATAGTTGATTTTGTAATCCACATTACAGAGCTCTGCAGAGAGTAACAGCTGGCCAGCCATCTGCATCCTGTTCCGACTCATTCGCATATAGTGCTGCTTTTCTGTCAGACTGGCACAAACAAAATTTTTAATGACATCAACATTATAAAGACAGTATTGACCAGCTTTCACTATTTGATCTGAAACACCAAACGTGAGTGTGAGGGACACATAACACACGTGACAAATACAATGGTGTGTATAAAAACAGAGTAGGGATTTTGTGGCTATCAGAGATCCTGATCTTGATGTAGGTTGTAGTACATTCCTACCTGACGAATAGAAATAGAATGTATGAGAGAAGACTGATGGAGTATACTCATCACATGGCTGGGGTTTAATCTGTGTGGTGCTGGTTGGCGAGTGAGGATGACAGTTCGCAGACCTCGCCTTCAGACCACGTAGTCCTCACTCGTCCTGTGAGCTGGATTATGTATTTTCATTTATCGTTACTGGGCTGAAACGCCAAATCTCTGCTGAAACCCCTGGCCCACATTATTATATGACTGTCCTGGAGGGTAGACATTCATCATAGGCTCATAAAGAAAAGACATTGGACACTATTTATAGTATTTATCTTGGTTGGTAATATTAAAGTGTATCTTTTTCACAACCCTGTCCAGTGGTTTTTTGTTGTTTTCAAATAAACTAGTCACTTTCTCACAATACTAATAGCAATGTTCAATATTCAGTAATGGTGTGGCTTTACTCAAAGCTATTGAGCTAACAGTAAACAAGAATGACTTAAATGCGCACCTAACTGACTCAGGAATGGACCATGGATGTTGGACCCCTTTAGAAAAATCTGCCACTGAGTTGAAGCCTGATTTGGATGTTACGTTGTTTAGACCATTTTTACCAAAGTAATTCTTCCATGAATTCTTCAGACTGACCTGCATTATAGGTATACATGTTGAAAAGGAACTGGGGGTTGTCCTTTCCAAGGCCTAAGAACTAAAACAAATTAAAGTCCAAACCAAACATACTATTTTAGTGAGCCAATGACTCATTGGCATAATGCATTGCCAAGCATATTACCCAACCTGAACCATTAAGACTTAATGCCTAACCCTAACCCATATAAGTTTTGAACAGTCCACTGAAAAAGAGAGAATTGGTCAAAATATCATCACTTTCCCAAAATGTCATCACCTGTAAGGTCTATATGCTTAAAATTCTCCTCACAAAGATATAAGTACAAGTACGCACACACACACACATGCGTGCACACACACACACACACACACACACACCCACATACAAACACAGTGACATCAGACACATCTTAAAATTCAGTAAAAACTACATAATTTGGTCTTCGTGAACACAATTGACGTGTGAAGTGTGAACGGACAAATTTAACAGTGTCCCCTTATGATTGGATGCCTCAGGTCAGATGTTAATAAAAGGTCTGAACAGAGCATAAGTGAAGTTATTATTTCTCTGGTTACATTTGTACATGACATCACTCCAGCTCAATTGTTTTGTCGTTACAGAGTGACGGTCACATCCATGTGCAGCATGGACCTGAGTCGCTTTCCTCTTGATACGCAAACATGCTCTTTGGAGATAGAGAGCTGTAAGTAACTGATTTTCCTCTCAGTTAAACACAAGCCGTAGTTGATTTCTCTTTCTGGCCTGATTCAACTCTGTGATTGTCACAAATGTAGAATTTGTACCATAGATGATTGAAGCTCTTTGTCTCATCAGATGCGTATACAGATGATGACCTGATGCTATACTGGAAAGAAGGGAACCGCTCACTGAACACAGACGAGAGAATTTCTCTCTCCCAGTTCCTCATCCAGGAGTTCCACACCACCAGCAGGCTGGCCTTCTACAGCAGCACAGGCACTGACAGAACCTTTGAATATAATTCTCTCACCTCTAAGGGCCTGAGCAGCTTCTAACTTCCTCTCCTCCCCAGGCTGGTACAACCGTCTGTACATCAACTTCACTCTGCGGCGTCACATCTTCTTCTTCCTGCTGCAGACCTACTTCCCCGCCACTCTGATGGTCATGCTGTCCTGGGTGTCCTTCTGGATCGACCGCAGGGCCGTCCCTGCCAGAGTACCGCTGGGTGAGCAGGCTCAGCCACCTTGTTGATAATCGGTGCCTCAGTCAGTCAGGTTGTAGCTGTTGAGTTGATGTGGACTCGATGTTTCTGACTTCTTAAATGGAACCCCACAGCTGACTAAGACAAAAGAAATCACATTTTCTTAATATCTGTTAATTTATCAATTCCACATTCTATTTCACACGCTCTAGGTATAACCACGGTGCTCACCATGTCCACCATCATCACTGGAGTCAACGCCTCCATGCCCAGGGTCTCCTACATCAAAGCTGTGGACATTTACCTCTGGGTCAGCTTTGTCTTTGTCTTCCTGTCTGTGATAGAGTACGCTGCGGTCAACTACCTGTCCACACTACAAGAGCGTAAGGAGAGAAAACTCAGAGAGAGGGTTGGTACCAATCACTCACCTCCATACTCATATATATCACATTGATGCAAATGTATGAAGTCACAGTTTAAAAGAACCAGAGTTTAAAGATTTTGAACCACACCAGCCCCATGGTTCACTGGGCGAAACAGCGTAGTCTGGTTTTTCAGTCTGTGAACTACTTTGGTCCTGAAATATCTCACCAAATCTTTAAATCTACAGTTAGCTACACCTGACACCATCATATGTGGACTAATGTTGCTTAATTTTTAAAGTGAAAGTATTTGTTTGACAGATTTTTATGTAATATATATGTAATATCGGGTAATGATACTGAAATAGTTGTTTTAGCAGCAGGTGGAGTTATAGGAAAATACTTTTTCAGCAGTGATGAATCTGATGGCTTGTTTTTCTCATCTTTGATTTTTACTGAAATATTGAATCATTTGAACATCCACTGAAATGGAAGCATTTGAGAACTGTTTGAGAACAGAGGGGGAAGTACAATCAGGCATCTGAAATAAATAAACTCCTTTTTGAAAGACGTTAAAAGCCAAAATGGTTTGAAACCACTGAAAAAGTAATAAAAGCTGAGATGTAAAAAATAGCTTAAAAAAAAGGTAAAGGAAAAGTACTTACATAAATAAAAATGAAATATTTAACATTTTCAGGATTTGTACATTAAAACTAGCAAAGACAAGAGTGATGATTGACTTGTGACTGAACAGTTGTGGAGCCACTTTGAGAGCTTTGATTGAAAAATGAATGGTAAAGTAGTAAAAGTATATTTATTGAATTAAATATTACTGAAGTTAATAAGCTTTCTTCAGCCGCTGGTGGATGAAACTGTATAATTTTCAATATCGTGGTGTTTTTGCATGCAGTGCTGCAGTGGTCATCACAAAAATGCTATTTATTCAAATATTTCTATTCAAAGCGTTCTTACCATTAATAAATAATTTGATGAAATCTGTTTGGTGACAGTTTGAAATACAGGTTTTCAGACGAGGTGTTTTGGTCTGAAAACCATGAATGTATACGTTGTCTTCTTGCAGCTGCTGTGTACGTGTGGGATGTCCCACCCTGGCATGATGTCTGTGAGCTACAGTGAGATGGATGTCAACACCACAGGGAACTATGGCATCCCGGAGGAGAACGGGGTGAAACGGGAGAGGATGCTGGTGCAGCTGGCGATGGGGACCGACCAGGTCACCGGCCATGTCAACTCTGGCAGCTACAGCGACGCGTGGATCGACACGCACGTCATCGACAAGTACTCCCGGGTCATTTTTCCTGGATCTTACATCCTCTTCAACATTATCTACTGGTCCATCTACTCCTAACACAGAGCGAAGGCAAACAGACCTACGTCTCCTGGAGAAAAGACACGTGCACTGTACGCGCACGTCAAGGCGTTTGTGAGAAACGGAACAGAAAAGTTGGACAGAGAGACCAGACGTGGCCCCAAGGTGGACGTGAAGCAGTCTAACAGGACCAAGTGAAGCTGAACCTTTAGTCAGCTAATCAAGACAACAACAATAATCCAATGTGGCTTCATCACAGTGCAGGGTGTGTCCCACGATGACCAGGGACCAGCCATGGTTGGGGAACTTGAATTGAGCCGTTTTCTCAACTAGTTCCAAGCTTGTTAAACTCTTCTTAAAGGGCTTGAAACAACAGTAGTCCATCTGTAATATGTGGGAATCACTTCTTCTCCTGGCCTCATCCATTTGGCAGTTTCACTCTAGTTGCTTTTTAACTTTGTAGATACCATTCATGCTCATTTTATACCTACTTCCATTCATATTGTGTTTGCTACTGTTGTTTGTTGTATAAATGCAAAGCTATTAAAGCACAGGATTGCGTGATAGTGTGTGTTTTGGTATGTGTTACGACCCCGTGCTGGACTAGGGGAAAGGGGACATAAAACCAGACAAAAGCTGTGTCTCAAGTTCGGGGCCGCATCCTTTCGAGGACACGATTTACCTGGTCCCTGAAGGAGGCGTTCTTCTCGGGCTGCGTGCATTGCGAGGGCAGGACCGCAATGAGACGGTCTGGTCTGCAGAGGATTTCCATGATCGGGGAGTTGGACACGACAAGAGAGTTTTTAACATGTGCTCTGTTAGCTGTTGATTTGAAGCGTGATACATGAGCATTGGATATTTCTTCTCTTACCTCTTTGAAAATCAGTCTGTCTATGATGTGCAATGAATCATGGGATAGGTTTGGTCAGGAAGGATTCAGCAGTTAGAGGTGTACTATTTTATGTCGGTTTATTATTCTAATAATAATAATAACCTACACTGCAGACGTAATGTTTCCATCTGTGTTTGAGTATTTGTGTGTTTTTTGGTTTTTTAGCAGGATTTCACAAAAGATACTCAACCGATTGCCATGAATTTTTATTGAAGGGCCCGACCAAAGGAAGCATCCATTCAATTTTGGTGTGAATCCAATCAGAGAATAATTTATGGATCATGATGAAAAACATTTGATATTTTTGAGTGTGTACAATTTGCTGCAGAACCAAATAGAAATCAGGAGCTGGTGAATTGAAATGGGGTTTTATTAGGTGACTGTTGGGCCTTGGCGATAATAAACTCTCCACTGACTGCCTTTCTAATTTATCATGATTTAATGTTACATCCCATCAGTGTGTTTTGTGGGTTTACACTGTAGAGAGGCAAGAAGGTTCCCGGTTCGAATCCCAGTTCAGCTATGGTCTGAAAAAAGATAAGCAGTATAGATCATGTGAAATAATGCAGAGGGCAGACATCATTTGTTTATTTAATATGAGAATGTATTCATTTGTGTGACTGATGTGGTTAATTTGTCAGGACTGAAAGAAGTTCACAGCAACAAGTCGAACGGACCGGTGGAGAAGAGGATGGGAGAGAGGACTCAAAACTTTTCACTTCCAAGTCATCAGGAGTCAAAGCTGAAGTTTACATGAGTTTAACATCACTTTTTATTCATCTTCCCAGATGCTCTCAAAACTATTAGGAAATAATTTGAGTCAGTTCGCTTTACTCACTGAGCTAAAGCAACATTTAGCCTTATCATTGCTGCTGTTGTTTCTCACTGTGATATCTTTTATATGAGTTGACACATGTCTATCAAATATGTAATAAAACGGTACATAGTACTCGGATGTGTGTTCACCTCTTAACACTAATCTCCAACTAGCATTTTTATTTCTAATTGGTTAAAATGTCTGTATTCAAGCTTTTCTGGTACAACTGAATCTGAGCTTCACTTTTTCAGCATCTGCTCCTTGGGGATTTGTTCGTTATCCATAAGTCTGCAGCAACGATTAAAAGACAAATCTTGTCTGGCTCCAAATTCGACAATAATGCAGAAGATTCAACACAAGCACAAGGTAGGTGTTCATATTTACAAATGGTTCCAGAGCATCAGAGACTGGACTCTTCATCCGTCAGTGAAACACAGAGTGTCAGTCCATCCTTCAGCTGAATAACTGTCAGCATTACAGCGGGTGGAACTAAATAATCAATCTAGGGTAATAGCCACTGATTTCTTGCAAGCATCAAGTCTGGAAAGTCGTCATGTATACAGGCAGCATGTTGTAGGAAATGTGTCATGTGTCAGGCTTCAGGATATGGGATTGGCTGTCTCCTTCCTTTGGGTTCCTACTGGTGCGGTAGGTAAAAAAATCATTTTATCTACAGATAATTGATATGCAAATAAAGTTAAATAGATATTACATGCTTTAATAGGATCTATACATACAACACCATAGGAATAGTGGGACTTTTAAAAACCAGATTGAGATTTATTTTTTATTCATAACTATTTCACAAGGACATACCATGATTTCATAAGAATTATGTTTATTCTATTTATCTTTTATTATTGTACAAAGTTCTATCCAATCTATTTTGTATTATTTTCCTTCTTTAGTTTGCTTAGAAACTGTTTTAAACTATGTACTGTATCAAATTTATTTCTTTTTGTCTCTATCTTTTTACATTATTTTCAATGTCTCTGAACAGCACCTGGATTCCAAATGTGCCTTATAAATAAAACGTTCTTGCATTAAGTGACTCAGGCAGACGTTTTTGCATTATTCTGTGTAGGTGGAATACAAAGCAGTATATATGGTCTGCAGAATAGGACGCCCACTTCAGTCCAGTAGGTGGCGGTATTGCGTCTATTAACATGTTTGCCAGGCGCCATTGAAAACCAAGTCCCTGACGTCATATCACAGCGACGGTCGCGTCTCCATCCTCCACCATGGCCGAATCAGAGTATGTATTGTTTTTAACTTCATCTCAGTCCATCCACACTTTTCTTTGCGTCCAACCGCATCGTTTCTCTCTCGTGTAAAAATCTAAGTTTAACTTCATCGGTCGGGACTGTTATTGTGAGCGCTGGAGGTAGAACAAGCAGATTCTATGGAGTCTCATTTCACATGGGGCACAGTGCATCTCCACCACTCCATAACTAGCGAAGCGTTCATTTAGTAAACTGTTAATGTGGAAGTGAGGTGGCAGACGTGTAGCTAATAGCCTCTGTGCTGCCTTTTGTGTAACTATATTAAACTAATGTATAAACAATATGGTCATTAGCATGCCATGCTAAAGCTAAATATTGCTAATTTGTGTCTGGATAGAGACGACAGCGGCTTTAAACATGTGTCACTGATGTCATAACGCGCAACATGTATCTTCCATTAGAGAGGTGACCTCGATGAACAGTAGCCACGTTCACGTGTTACACTGAAGCTCGTGTCAGTGACTGTGTGTATGTTGGTGGTTCCAGGTCTAAAAAGGTGATCAAGTTGGTTCCTGAGTATCTCCTGAAGAAGAGGAAAGCGTACCAGGCCATCAAAGCCACACAAGCCAAGCTCGCACTGCTCGAGAAGAGAAAGGTCAGTGAGGACGGTTTGTTTGTCTGACATGTTGAATTCCAATGCAAATGAACCCACTTAGCCTGGATACACATTGATATTGTAGCATCAGGTTATGATGCAAAGCTACTCATCAGTTTGATAACTTAGGAGTTGTGAGTTCCAAAATATCAGACTGATTTGTCATGGCTCTCTGATTAAAGAGCAGAGACCAGACTTGATTGTCTCCTGCGAGTCCCCTAGTAAATATCTGGATAATATCTGAACGAGCCCATGCTGACGATGTTTCTTAAATGCAACAAACTCTAAACTGAAAACACCAAGAAAACAAACATCTCAGGATGAAAATGAGGTGCCACACTGACGAAAATGTCAAGAGAGCTCGCTGTTGTTGATGTGCTTTAATCAAAAACTTGTGATCTCTGCAGCGGAATTTATACGTTGCATTCTGCCTCTGTCTGCTGTTCTCACCCTCAATTCTGTGTTGTAAATGCATCTGAGCAAAGAACCTCCTGCTGCATTGTTAATGTGTGAGAGGCAAACTCCGGAGAAAGTCTGGACCCAAAGCTGCAGACATCTTCTAGAGTCCCTGTCTGAAAATACCTGTGCAAGAAACCAACTGCAATGTTTTGTTCACTTTGTTGGTCAGTTATGTATAACTCAAAATCCATGGGTTAAAGCGATGAGTTTTCCTGTAAGCCAAAAAATCTGCCCAAACTGCACTTGGTTCTTCACATATGTACACATAGCTGTATATTCACAACTGTACTTTGACATTATTCCAGGTTTCAAAAGGCAAAGCATTGAAGTTCAAACGTTTGGAAGACTTCCTGAAAGACAGCCACAAGAGGAATCGTGATGAAACTCGCATCCGCAGATTGAAAAAGAGGCCGCCTGCCCCTCTGCCTCCTGCGAAGAACCAGCTCGCCTTCGCCGTCCGCATCAGAGAGTGAGTACTTGGACAGAGGCTCGTGGTCGTAAGCGGGGAATTTTATCAAAAGCAAAAACTGGTTGTACATTTTTGCTTAGATTTGTCGAGTGCACTTCAGTGAAACCGGTGGGAATGAGAGCACATGAAGTGAAATGTCTTGTCAGCTCTCACAGGCATCCCCAGCAGCCTTTAGAATACACCTCAATTACTGAGAGGTTGCTGTAGTTGTTTTGTTCCTGTTTTGTTGATAGTAGCTGTTGTAGGTGAAAACTAAGCTCTGTCATATCTTTGCCTTTATTACCTGAAAATGTCTTTGACAGAGGAAGTTACCAAAGTGAGAATTAATGTTTGCCTCAGAATCCTCTCACACAAGGCAGCATGTTTGTGTGAACTCTGGACTTTGAATCCCTCTTCATGTTCCTTGTCTTTACCTCACATACCTGTTAAATACAACAACACAGTTCCTCTTGTTCTCCCAGTATCTAAAAGAACTAGAGATTTGTACTGCTACATCCATACAATAAGTTTTAGTTAACAATCTCCTTACAGACTAGTGTTTTAGATCTTTATCGAAAATAGGCAGTGATGTGTTTTAAAACTAAAACAGTAGTGTGGATGTAGCCTGAGTCTTGTAGTGGTTTTATGATTGCTGAGGAAAACCTGATCAAAGATGGCTGATGTGAACATATAGAAATAAAATCATTGTGAGAGGGAGCAACACTTGAATCCAAGACAAGTTAAATTTTTGCTCAGTGCACGATGTGGGGATTTCTGAATGGGGGAAAATGTCATGGTCTGTCTTACTAATTTGCTAATAGTCTTGTTAATGTAACTTGAAATGTTCAGTTTTACCTACACTTGAAAAGGAACACTACACATTGTTGTCTGTGTGTCTGCAGACTGCATTCCTACATATTTCTTTCATTTAATATCCTTTAAAATGTCAACAGTTTGTGAACGTGTTCCAGCAGGAGAAACACTATAGACACAAGTCTCAAACTTGTCAGGGTCCAATCACTGAAAGTCTGAGATGGGAAGCTGTTTTATTACATTAATGACATTCTCAAAACAAATACACATTAACATTGACGATCCTTTCCTTTTAGGATCAAAGGCGTCAGTCCCAAAGTGATGAAGGTGGTCCAGATGTTGAGGCTGAGGAAGATCTTCAGTGGATGCTTCGTCAAAATCAACAAGACCTCTATGTCCATGATGAAGTTGGTTGAGCCCTACGTTGCCTGGGGGTGAGTCAATCCGACAGTTACTCTTCGGTAAATCAAACGTGTTACATTTCAGTTCTTGTACTGATAATCACTTAATGATCTTGCCGACAGATTTCCCAACTTGAAATCTGTTCGTGAGCTCATCCTGAAGAGAGGACAGACCAAGATAGGCAGGAAGAGAGTTCCTCTCACAGACAACACCTTCATTGAGCAGCACATGGGTAAGTGTCCTTTACAGTGTGATGGAGCCACCACACAAGTATAGCATAAAAAGCATATAAAGGGATAGTTCACAGAAAAGTGAAAATTCACTCATCTACCCACCTGGAGTTTCAGGATTGAACAGTGTTTTAGCCCAGGTGACCTCTTCTTCAGATGTATGTATGTAATCCATACTGCTTGTGTGGTGTCATCCACACGCATGATTATTAAGTAACTTACTGTTGAGACTATGAATAGTAAAATAAATATGATTTACAATATATAAAGATTGAAAACTATATATTTGTTTTGTTTTTTTGCCATTGTTTTGGCACTTAAACATCCCAGGAACAAGGGACATGAGCATTAGAAAATGCACACATTGAATGAAGCTGTAATGTGTCGGATGTTTTGGCACAGAATGGTTAGGTTGGGCGATGTGAGTGAGCTGTGTGTATCTGCCACCATCCTGTTATCACATCTCACACCTCTGCTCTGTTGTTCCTCAGGGAAACATGGCATCATCTGTTTGGAGGACCTGATCCATGAGATCTACTCTGTTGGTAAGAACTTCCGGGCCAGCAACAACTTCCTGTTGCCTTTCAGGCTGTCAGTGGCTCGTCACGCCGCCAGGGACAAGGCCAGGCTCCTGAAGGACCTGGGAAACCCTGGATTTCGTGCTACAGACATTAACACTATCATCAGGCAGCTGAACTAAGGAGAGACGCCTGCAGGGTGGATACCCAGCTGCCACGAAAAGGACGCTGGACTTCAAGAGGAGCAAATGCCATTGATGACAAAATGTGTATTTTGTTTCTTTGGCTGTACCCCTCTGGTTACATTCTCTGGACATGGGGTGATGTGAGAAAAGTGGATTATTTGACCTCATCCATGTTGTTGTTGTTCAGCACTATGCTCACATAGTGCCCCTTACAGTGGTCTGAAGGGAGCAGTTTGCTCCTTGGTGAAAATGTAACAATATTGTATATTAAAAATATCAGTACACCATATTCTTCATTTCAGAGGGATGAATCAGTACTTGCTACAAGTACAGGTACTGAACCGTATGGGTTGTCCTGCTCACATGAGCCACCAGCCAATCTAACACTGATCAATTTACAGCGTCCAGTTGATTTTAGTGTAAAAGGTGTGAAGTCTTTTAAACATCAATCATTGATCCATTGACTGGTGCTTTATTGTTGATTCACTTGTTTTTACAATAAAAAAAACCCAAACTGATTCAGTACTTTTGCAGTGACATCTGCAGTATGTATCACAGTGTGTGTGGGGGGGGGGGGCGGCAGACCATTGTCAACCAATAGTAAAGCTATGATATTAACTCTGGTGGATCTCCACAGAATCGGGTTGGGACTTTCTCCAGAGTTTGCCTTTTACACATTGAAAATGCAGCAGAAGACTTTCTGCTCTGGTACATTCACAACAACACAGAAATCTCAGGAGCATCCACGTGAGGGCTGGTGACGCAGCGGTCAGAGCCAGGATGTAGCATATAGTTTTCACTATGGCGGTCACGTTTGTCTATTTACAGCGACGCCAGCATCAGCCGTTATGATGAAATGGTCTTCGTGTCTTCTTAGTATATGGCACCTGTTTTTTACTCTCATACGTTTTTGTTTTTTTTGCATCCGAAGTGTTAGAAATGTCATCAGCACACCAACATGCCCACTCGCTCGCAGTGAATCTTACGATCAATATCCTGCTGTGTTCTCACATGGGCTCAATGTGATGTTATCAAGAGTTTGTACTTGGCCACTGGCAGGAGAAACTCAGAAGAAAGTTCGTAGGCTCTCACTGAGTTCACTGCATGTCTGAAACCGGCTACATCTGTATATATTTCACACAGTGGGGGGCGCTATAGACACTTCTCCACAAGGTGAAGTGATGATGCAATGAGTAGTTTGGATTTATCAATACTTTAAATCAATATTTGGTGGCCACCCTTTGCCTTTAAAACAGAATCAGCCCTCCCACCTCGCCAACTCACACACACTGGTGTCACTGTTGATGCACAGGCGGAAGCAGCAGGAGAGAGAGGTGACCTATAGGGCTGCTGCTCCATGAATTCGCACAGGGACGAATGGTTATGTCGGGGACGGGTCATCTATGTCACCCTCGTGTTTTTTTTTCTGAACTCGATTGGTCGGTGGTCAGATGGAGCAGCGGAGAAGATTCCAGTGATCAACACACAGGAGCAGGTAGACGAACTGTTTACGTGGGGTGACGTGATGGATGCCGTCACTATCTATATAATCAATCAGCATCCATTACCACGGCGATTAATCACCATGGCGACTAGATTCTGGGCGTCAGCGCAGCCAGGCTGGTGTCACGATGACGTAGAAGCGGGTCCTCCTCTGCTGATGTGTTTCAGAGCGAACCGAGAAAAACACTGGCGTCACAGAGATGATGTCACGTCCGGTCACTTTTCAATTAAATCGATCTAATTAAAATGATGGCGCTCACAGATCGATGATTCAATTCACCAGCAGAGCACGTGTCGTGCTGCCTTCAGCGGTATCGGGAAGGTCGGAATTATGACGACGACCTGGAAAGTGCGGAAAACGTGGCGTTAAGCAGTATCAACAGATAATACAATAACCTTACAATATATATTGATTGATTGATTTAGTTTATTATCCCTGAGGGGTAATTTGTGTTTATATATATATAAATGTGTGAGTGTGTAGTCCAGTTTATGGTCAGTGACACATATTCTGTTCTGCAGACTGTTTCCTCTTCATTCAGCATTAAGTATCTCTCCTTTCGATCTCACCCCACACAATGATAGAGGTCAAACAAACTCCCATACATGGACATGGATCATGTGCGTGTTCAATCATTCAAATGGGGACACCTCTATTTACAACTGCACGCACGGTTGCCGAGCCCGAGTGTCTTTTGTTTTACGTGGAGCACGCGAAGGCAGCACTGTATCTCCTGTCAAGGAGAAGGGGCGGGGCGTCAGCTCCCGAGCTAGCAGCTAATGAACACGAAGCAGCCGCCGCTCCATGTTCAGCAGCGAGGAGCGAGCAGAGGTGAGTGTGTGAGTGCGTTCGACCTCTAACACTGAGCCATGTTCTCGCGAACAGCAGGGGGACCCTCTGGGGGTCGTGACGGCCGTCGCCCCCGCGCTCAGGACGTTGTCGCCGGCTCTCTGACACCAGACACACGGTGGTACACGCGGTGGCAGAGAAAGTTAGAGTGGTTGGGCAATGGGGCCGCGTGTCTGTGTGTGCGCACGCGCTTGTGTGTGTGCACGAGACTCTTGCTGATGCTGTATCTGCTGGGTAATGTCATGTAACGTTCACGACACAGTGAGGTTAGCAGTGGGCTAGCTAACACGCTCCAACATGAGCCAGCTGGAATGAATGACTTGACGGAGCGCGTGGGGGGCTAATTGGCCAATCAGGGAGGAGGATCTGTAGACGGTCACGAGTTTGATGCTCCTGGACGATGCTCTGCTCCTCCATCACTACACGTGGATTTACAGGGTTTCATCTGGGCACAGATGTGAACCCTCATATCACATCCTCAACTCTGCCCTGTGTAAATATCAACAGGTGACTGTGAACATGTTAAAGGTCCAGTGTGTAAGATTTAGGTGAAAGGGATCTATTGGCAGATATTTAATGTAGAATAATCCTCATCATGTTTTCACTACTTCATTTCATCTAAATTGTATGAATTGTAGTTTTCTTTACCCCAGAAAAGGTCCTTTATATTTAAATACTTTATATTTACATCGAGGGGACCCTCTCTACGGAGGCCACCATGTTTTTTACATTAGTCCAGACTGGACAAACTAAACACCTTTTTTTTTGACAATTAAATGCTACCACAGGTTCTTTTTTCATGTTAGGAAGGAGAGGGTGAGGTGAGGGGTGTTCAGCTGCAACATGCAATTTCAACACTATATATCACAAAATTCTACACACTGTACCTTTAAATCTAAATAACCAACAGAGGTGCTGCACTGCACTCAGATCCATCCGACAAGAATAGTTGATGGGATAGTAACTGAATAACTGCCACTGCTAACTGAACTCCAGGAGGCTTCACATCAATGTAATCAGGTCAGTATCAGCTCCAAAAATAAATTAGTATATCAAGCTCCAATTTATCGCCCCAGGATGTGGTGGGTTGAAAGAGGAAATGTAGAAATATGTGCACATAGATGCTGTTTGTGAATGGGTGAATGGTAAAACTGTATTGTGAAGGGCTCTGAGTGTTCATCAAGACTAGAAAAGCAAGCTGCAGTACCATTTACCATTTTACCAATGTGTCAGCTGTCAGATATTTATCTATACTGCTTATATCATTGTAACTACCCTTGTTACTGGTGTTACGGCTGTAGATCTACGATAAAGTGTTGTTTATGACAATAATGTGTTTTCATCAATCCAGTTAATTGGCTCCTTGTCAGCTCATAAAGGGGTCATAAATAGAAAGTCTCTCATATTTATTGTTTCAGTGTCGTTGAACTGATTGGATGCTTTTTTATTTTCATGAATCAAGACCATAGTAGTCCAACATGAAGGATCAGTTTCAGGACGTTCGCAGATTGTTCAATTCCTGGCTCCTCCAGGCTGCATGATGAAGTGTCCTTGGGCAAGATACTGAACCTCAAATTACCCCTGACAGCTGATTGTGAACTGTGTTTGCTGCATACATGTGCTATGTGGGTGGGAATGTGGTTTCAAGAGTAACTTATTTAGGATAGGACTAGAAAAATGTATATAAATACAAATCATTTACCATTTAACCTCTCAGTTATCTGTTGTGATATCTCTTGCAGGCTAATGATTACACACAAGCTTCAACCAAACAACCATCTTCTTTGCAAGCAGTGCTGCATTAACATTTGTTGCAAAAGATTGACACAATGTTTCACCTTCCCATGGAACCAATTCTCAACAGCTCCTAACAGCCCAGTAATCTGAATATGAACAATTTATATTTCTTTTTATCTTGGGTGCTTCTGAAAACAGACTGCCTCTTGTGATGTAGGTGTGGGTTTCACAAAGCAGGTCATGGTTCAGCCTGGAGTTTAATGATTACCGATATCATAGGTCTGCACAGATTCAACGACAGTAAACCATTAGTGCCTGTGGTAAAATGTGCTGGTTGCACCCATGTGCATGTCAGTTATTGGATCTGTATGTGTATATAATATTCTCTGTGCAGCCTTTTGTGTGTTGTGCTCATCTTGGCAGGAGAATATTATGGATTGGATAATTGTTTCACTAGTTGGTTGATTTCAGATTTGGTGAAAATATGCCTTGTATTGCTTAGAATAGAAGATAGTACACGTTATTGTATCTGCAGTGCAATCTTCAGGTATTCAAAATAATCCTAAATAATAATGGACTCAATGAAGTGTTGCACTTTTCCTAGTTGCATTCACCCATCCACACACATTCATACAGTGCCTCCATATGCAGTGCAACAGCAACAGTGCTGTCAGGGGCAATTTGAGGTTCAATATCATGCCCACGGAAACTTCAAAATTTGGACTGGATGAGCTGGGGATGGAACCACCAGCCCTGGATGACCCTCTCTCTACCTCCTGAGGCACGCCCAACTACATAGCCTTACCGTCTACTAGCAAAAGAAAACGATTAGTCTTACAACATATTAGAAACATAAAGTGATGGAATACAATATTATTTCATTAAATCTGAATCCATTCACCTGCTTATTGACACTAATTCTTATGCATCCCTTAATGAACACATTTGTTTGGGGGGGGTCAAGGTATCTGTTTAAAAATGCAAATTTTTTTGATTATTTTTATATAAATATACTATTATTAAATTATAACAGCTTTGTGTAACAAAAACTATAACTTAAAAAACGCAAATGGTAATTTTAAATATCAGACAAGATTGATACTGACACTAATGGTAATTATACATTTTTAATCTCTGCTTTGTGTGTTCAAATGTAAAAAAAAGAAAACAGGAAAAAACAAACAGAAGGTGCCTCCACACTGCTCCTGTGGTGTCATCTAAGTGTCCGTAAGCCCATACTTTCAAATTCGACTCTGAACAAGGTCATTTACACCATGGTTTTAGCCTAAATGTCTGATTTTGTTCTCCGGAGCCACATTCACGCTCTCTACTCTCGGTTGAGCGCACACATTAAGCTCTGCTACGAGGAGGAAGATTAACTCCAGCCCCACCCCCAAAAAATAGCAGCACACATTCACCTTCCTGAGCTGTCTATAAAACCATCCAGGAATAACTCAGCTAGTGGTGTGCTTCTAATGATGATACTATTAGTCAAACACTTAGGCCTAGACTTCAATATCCCAACATTTACTGGATGCATTGGCACCATATTTTTGGTTTAAGGCCCTGTTCACACCTGGCAACATCTGTCCTGACAGATCAGATCACAGATGGACAGTGTTAAGTTTGTCTGTTCACACGTGGCATTAATGGCAAATGTGTCCTGAATGTGTCGCCTGTGACCACTGCAGATCTCACCTCCATGCTCTATATGCAAATAATCACGGATGTCATTGGGGGTCTTTGATATGTGGCCCAGGACGATCGGATCTCAGGATGCATTGAGGATAATTTGGGTGTTTTCTGACCTGTACGGTGCTGCGCTGTAAACTTGTGATAGAATCACTCAGAACAGATGTTAATACCAGGTCTACCAAATAGCATGCCAAACTTCTTTTTTATAACATGCTAATTTAAGACTGTGAACATTTTAAACATAATTCCTGCTAAATGCATTTAGCTCTACCCTCAGTAAAGACAATAACAGCCTCACAGAGCCAATATTTTTATTTATTCACAATAGGTGGTTAAGAAATTCTTGAAAGACATTTGGAAAGGACAAGATGCTCATCTGTGAATATCGGCAAACGTGACAATACTACGAGGATCATAACGGTTGATATTAACCAACTGGTCAGGCTCTGTGTTGCAGTCAAGGGTAGTCAGGAGATATCTGGTTGTATTTCTCTGGTTTGAGTGCAGCGTCTCTGCTGGTTATCTAAGAATGAAGAAATGTGATTTACTTTGAACTATCTTTTTGTTTATTCAAGCTCCAGCCTCATTCAGCGGTCATATGCAGCTGCAGACCTTCCCATGCTCCACCTGCTCTCTCATCATCAAACAACAGCGTTACCATTTACCACCATTCACACACAAAGCAGGGGTAAAAACAATCAGTGTCCCTGTGTTGCCAGGCAACCATTGGCCACCATGACCTCCTTGTGTGACGTTTGGTGATTCTGACAGCCACCACCTAACATTCATACAGAGCCAGGTCTAACAGTAACCTGCTGCAAATGGACAGTATTCGTATCATATAAGCCTAAGCATTGATTCATAGGGAACAGTGGGTATTATGCTGTATGCTGATGTAAGGATGACAAATATTTATCGTTTCAAGCTTCTTAAATGTTACAGCTCGCTGATAATGTATTTGACATAATTGTAAATTGAATATCTGTGGCTGGGTTGAGATGCACAGAACAGGAACAACTTATTTGTTGGGGATTTATGACTATATTTAAACATAGGTCCAAGTTTTAGAATTTCATATATTGATAATAATTAAGTATTTTTGTAAAAATAGTTTTAAACCATTTTTGTTATTTGATAGTCACAGACAATATATAATCAGGACATATGGGGAGCTGATGTACAGTAACTGGTCAGATTTGAATCAAGAATGTGCCACTCTGATGCTGAACCCCTTGTCAAGTAGCTTGTTGAGTTAGATTTGCACTCTGACAGGACACTAGGCCTCAGCCAACTGGTGCAGAAGCAGATTAGCTTTCTGTGAGCCACGTTCTTTTGTGCTGAACCTTATGTTGTAAATTGCAGCAAGCCATTAACTGTACACTATTTTGCAGGATGGAGTAGCTGCAGGGTTGTTGTTGTTGTTGTTAAAGGTTCAGTGTGTAGAATTTAGTGACATCTAGTTGCATGTTGCAGCTGAATACCCCTCACCTTAAGCTCCTCTTCAAACATGACAGAGAACCTTTGATAGCCTTCAGTTGTCATCAAAACTCAAAGGGTGTTGAGTTTTTCCAGTTTGGGCTACTGTCAAAAACATGGTGGCCTCCGTAGCGATGACCTAATCGCGATGTAAATATAAAGTATTCAAATATAAAGGACCCTTCTAGGGTAAAGAAAACGTTAATTCGTACAGAAAAAGTCTGCAGAAATTCTGGCTCTGACATTTGCGTTCACACATGCAGCCCCTGCTACAGCCCTTAAAGAGACTGGAGTGTTTCAGAGGTTCATAAGAGAAGCTGCAGCAAAGGACAGTTGAGAAATATCATGAGTTTTCTGAAAATTACAGGATGCAAGACTTTTCAAGTCATTAAATTTAAGTTATGAACGGGAATATGAGCAAAATAAGTCTCAATTGCACAAGCTCATGTCAGTGTGGCATTTTAAGAAGCTTTACTTGAGTAAATTTCCATGGGCCGTCCTCTGTGAAGCCTTTGGCTTCTTGTTTTAAACACTGAAAGGATTTTAATCCCAGGGCCCTTTGTAACCTGTCCAGTTTTTCACACTGATGCATTGTTGAATGGCATTTTAACAGTAGGGGTTTCATTATCCCTTCACAACAGTGTAACAAATGGTTGCTCACAAAAATCCAGCTCTCAACAGGAGCAAAGGTTTCTGTGAAACAACCGACCAAGTTGCGACTCACTACTCATACAAGCTCCTGGAAGCACCTCCACAGAAAGAATTAACAGCAAATGTTTGGTTCATTTATCTAATACCACAAACATCTGTCTGTCTTTCTGTTTGTCTCTGTCTGGATCGCATATCACGTGACTTATAAATTGTCAGAGCAACTAGCACTCTGTAGCAGTCAGGTGGGAGGGGCAGTGTGCTAACAGTATGTCTGTGGACCTAGTTGTATATGTCTTCTTAACTTAAATCGCCACCAGATCATTTTGATGATTCGATGATTAATATAATGATATTTCTGTATATCACATAAAATCTTCATTGTAGATAAACCAGGTAGGGTGAAAGTTTTCTAAATTCACTCTGCACCATCGACTGTTTATAAAATGTTCTGCTCTCAACGTCCAGCACACAGACAATAAAAAGTGTCAGTATATTGTGGAACTGTTTGAGGAGGACTCACTAATGACAAGGAATAATTCTGAAGTAGCTCCGGAGCTTCAATACAGGACAAGAGAACAGCTCATTCCAAACAGAACAGTCACTGTACTGTTCAATTCTGCTTTTCAAAAGTCTAATGTTGGAGGGATGTCTTTTTAAAAAATCCTGAATGAATATTACCCTGAAATGTGACGGATAGAAGTTTAAGAGCTTTGTGTTTAAACCTCCCTGTAAGTGGCTGCATTGGAACTAAACCAGTTTCCCTTGTGGTTGCTTCTGTTCCCAAACCGATACATTCAGATGGGTTAGAGATAAAACATAATGATGAGAGGGGGATTTAATGTGGTCCTGTCTGTTGGCCACTGCTTGATCACACCAGCACAGAGTATCACACAAGACAAGCAGCCAGTGAAGAACATTTCAGTTTGATGAACACACATGATGCCACACACTCTCTAATCCCTGAAGAGTTGTGTTTTTAGATAGATAGATACTTTATTGATCCCGAAGGAAATTCAAGTGATCCCAAAGGAAAGTCAGATTAGTCCAGAGACGAAAGTTAGCGGCAACAGACGAGCGCTCTAACTGGACTCAGACTGAGACCGAGATCTTTGGCCACTTGTCATTTGAAACAGTTGCCCTTCACTGCCATTTAAAGCTGCCAACATGTGAGCATGGCTGCTGAAGGGTCTTTCTGAAGAACTGCTCGACAGTTGTCCATGTGAATTCAGAGCTTGCGTGTGAGCAGAGTTGCTGTATAAATACATCTTTGTGAGTCTGCACTCACTCACACACACACACAAATATGAAAATACGTGCAGTTGAAGAGTGGATTTGCTGGTTTGGTATAATTTTCTCTTTTGGAAACCATGTGAGAGCTCTTACTCCCATAATCAAGCTGTGCTGATGGTTTTAGGTTTTGTGGAATCTCAGATGAACACAGTATGGAGTGAAACGTCCCTGTTGATAACAAAAATATATCCTCAAAGTGAAATCTGTGAAGCAATAGAATTGTGTGTCTCTTTTAAAAACATAACAATGGATTGGGTTTTGTTTGGTTGAGATTAAAGCCGCCCCAAAGACAATAAAAGTGCTGCTAAAGTAAAGATTGTCCAGATAATGATTGATAAAAAAATATTGTGGAAGGTCGCTCCTCTTGTGTTTTTCTTTAGCTATGGTGCATTGTTTTGCTGAATTTCTCCTCTGCCTCCATAGTGATCATGATGGGATTGGACTAAGACATCCCCCTCCAGTGCACTCACCCCTGAGTGGCCAGTGTGTCGCAGCAGCAGCAGCAGCAGCAGCAGCAGCTTGATTCCAGTAGGTACATCAAGTCTACTGCTAATTTATTTCTGATATATTCAAGCTAAGGCTTCATTTATGACTTTAGTTATTGGAATTATTTGTATCTGTGTTTGTATATGCTGCAAGAAATGGCATTCAGCAGTTTGAATAATTTTTTTGGGAGGAGAAATGATCTGAATGTCTTGAGTAAATTGTCTCAGTCATTTTTGGAAGATTTTGCAATTTGATTTTACATTTAAAATCAATTTAACAAAGTCTTAAACTTTTTGTTTGCTGCTGTTTGAAAAGGATAAGAAGAGAATATTCCGTCAGTTTTATTGAAGTATCAACATCAGAGCTGCTTTAGATTAGACATACATTTTGGTACAGAGAGAACCAAAGCTACTCTTCTTTAACGCAGTCATTCTTTAACACCCCCTTTGAACACTACCTATTTCTGTTGGTTTAAGGTGGTACATTCTTTTCTGTCCTCAGGGCTTTTTCATAGGCTGTATCCTAATAAACAATGATTAACTTTAAAGAGGAAAATAAATAGAAAGATGAGCAAGGTTGTAATCAGATGCACCCACCAGTCTACTCTGCCTGTAGGAAGCACCAGCCATGACTGTGATAATCTTGACAATTATGCTAAAAATGACGATGATGCTAATTTTGTGCCAAAAAGTTAATTTAAATACAATATATAGATGGTCAAATTTAATTGTTGGAAAGATATTTGAAAAATAGAATAGAATTTGAAAGAGTACAAAATGCCACAGATTTAATGGGTTCTTCTTGGGTCATGCATCAAACCTCAACAAAATTTCTAAGAAATCACAATAGTTGCCTTTGCATAACTAACAAACAGACCAAATGGTGATGAAAACATAACAAGGAGGTTATTAGGTAATAAAAGCTGTTAGTATGAAAAAGTATTCTGGTCGATATCCGAAGAGCACACAATGTATAACTGTTGTGCTGTTTTTTTCCAGTGACTGTTATAAAGTTGATTCTTGTGGTTGAATAAAAACCTGTCAAACTGCTGCTGCCAGGATGTTTTTCAGTACTACTCTCACTGCACTGTCACAGCTGCCGTTTCCCCCAGGTGTCAGTGAGAGAAGTTAACTTGACTTTCTTTGCTTGTTTTTCTTCCTCCAGCTCTGTCAGTCTTCCTGTTGGTGAAGTGCTTTCATTGAAACCTTAACCAGAGTCAGGGGCTGCGCTCCCATCGGCTTTCACTGCCCCGACCCTCTCCACATACAGGGTCAGCATGGGGGAGATAGTCCAGATGCACTTCACTACGGTGGACTATGTCATCTTTGCCCTGCTGCTGGTGGCCTCCGCAGGCATCGGGCTCTTTTATGCCTTCTCCGGTGGACGCCAACGCACAACACAGGTAGACTTTGGTGTTAGACACTCAGGAAAATTATTCTCTTGACAAACCCAAAACACTCTTTAAGTGTACAGTGTTTGTTTCGGACACATTTCCAACACCAACATTTTGTTTACCACAGGAGTTCCTGATGGCAGACCGCTCCATGAGCTGCCTCCCCGTGTCCCTGTCCCTGCTGGCCACTTTCCAGTCAGCCGTGGCCATCCTGGGGGCTCCGTCTGAGGTGTACACCTTTGGAACTCAGTACTGGTTCCTGGGCTGCTCCTACTTTTTGGGCCTGCTCATCCCAGCTCACATCTTTATACCAGTCTTCTACAGGCTGCGGCTGTCCAGTGCCTATGAGGTACACACAAATAAAGACTTAGTATTAATAAAGAACACAGGCTGCGTCCAGTCCACACAACAACATTTTTGTCACGACATCTTCTGGCTTCTATCACATGACCCCGTTCCGAAAGAGAACAACCAACATTAGCTTTGGCTTCCAGTGTGGAACGTAGAACATGGATACTCAATTAAAAGCTTTGCTGACCCTGATGTTTTTGCTAACATGTGCAGTTAAATTCTGCATTCGTGTTGGAGACACAGTTGCCCAAGACTCTTATCATCCATTTTACACCGGCACACGCATGCCCAGTGTACGTGAGTGGTCACATGATCTGCGTTTTCAGGCATGTTAGTATCAAAGGCGGTTAAAACTGATTACGAAGTTAGTTTTAGTTTAGTTTTAAAATGTAGCAGTATAGATGTAGCCTCAGTTGGACATGATAGTTTCACTATGTTGGATGGTGTGAATGTGTTTTTAAAACATTTCTTAATTATAATGACCTCTTTCCCCTGTCTGCCTGTTTTTCTGTTTTGCACTCTGTCAGCATGTTTCTCTAAAGTATGATCTCAGAGCTCATTTTTCTTATCTGTCCTGTAATCTGTCTTATCCTCAACAGAGACGCATGTTCTTGCCTTGAGGCTCATTATCTTCTAAACGCTGTTTTTATTTTTAACTGCAGCCTGAACCTCAAGGACAGTGATCAGGCATTTGCCAAAGATCAGGACTCCAAAGAATGTTGTCCAGCTTTAAAATCTGGCTTTAATGATCAGAACCTAAACTGACAGTTCTGATCCTGAGAGCACACATGACTCTGAGATGATATATAATCAGCTTTTTGATTTTGGTTTTTCTTTTTTTGTTCTTTTTTTGTTCTTTTACATTCTCTCCTCTCAACAGTATCTGGAGCTGCGCTTTAACAAGACGGTTCGCATATGTGGGACTGTGACATTCATCTTTCAGATGGTATCTTGTTCGACTTCATACTTTCATTGTACATTAGTTTCTGTGCTTTTTGTGAAGCATCTAATCGATGCTTATCATGATAAAATGGCCACCGTCTTAATCTCAGCTACTCTCTAAGTCATCAGTCATTTCACACAGAAGTTGTAGAATTGAATTATTATTTAGTTGGCATGGCAACCATAGTCACCAATGATATGGGAAGACAGAAAGTAGTAGTAGTAGATAATTACAGTTTTATGGTTGCCAATAAAAGCTTTTCTAGCTTTTCTAACTTGTTTTTGGTTTGAGGCGTTACCAAAAAACTTGCTTCAAAAATGTTTTGTCTGTGGAGTGATACTAGATGTGAAACAGTGGCTGTTTATTCTTGAGAAAGAACAGACCAAGGAAACATTCGCAGGCTAGTTACATTATATTACAGCCTGACTGAAACTTTGGCCCTGGAAATGACACATTGACCGTTGTAACATTTTTATTATTGCTTGTGTTTCCGACGTTGGCACTATCTATATTGTCTCCTGTAGATGCATCAGCAGTGTCGTCATGAATTACTGATATGACTTGAAACACATGAACTTTTATCTCAAAGGAAACCTCTATAACTAAATGCCTCCATATTTATTAGGAAATGTGTATAAACCATGTGTGTATGAGCAATGTTTGGCAGATGAGCAGGTTAAACAGGAAGTAGCAGGTTAAACAGGAAGTAGATCTGTACAACCAAAAATCTACATGTTTTTTGGAGGATATAATCTGACATGTGAGTAGGTTTGCTCCCTGAGCTCGCCTCTGTTTTGTGAGTGGTAGTAGAGTTTTTGTTTTTCTGTCCTCTGCAGGTCATTTATATGGGAGTGGTTCTATATGCTCCAGCCTTGGCCCTTAATGTAGGTAAGAACAACATTTTTTTTTTTTTGCTTTACATAAGAGGAGCCTACAGTTACTAATGATACTGAATACATGTTGTAAAAAACTTGTTTCTCCTGGACAATTGAGTAAACCCTCATGCAGTGTTTGGTAACGTGGTTTCCATTTTGACTTGCAGTGACAGGCTTTGACCTTTGGGGGGCAGTGCTTGCCATGGGATTGGTGTGCACTTTATACACAGCTCTGGTGAGTGTCTGGATTTATCGAACCATGGTTACCATCATCATCATCAACAGGGACCAAGTGTTGACTGTTGTTGTTCTACAGCAAAAGCTAAAAAATGATTAAATTAAGCTATTTAATGAAACATGTATTTGTTATTTCAACATCGTGTACGACATCTCATTTCATGTAAAAGATTTGCGAGTTGATCATACTTTTAGTAACAACTGGTGATTTTCGATTATCTATCTTACTACTTGATTGGAAAACTTTAAATCTATTTGTCTTCTTCATCAGTTTCCTTTATCCTCTTATATTCATACTGTCAGTGCATCACAGCTCTAGTCCATGCACACCTTTACAGATGGTTTGTAGTATTGATCTTCACGGACCTTTAAATGAAGTTTAAACCTGTGTGCTCCTGTCTCACAGGGGGGTCTGAAGGCTGTGATGTGGACCGATGTGTTCCAGACCGTGGTGATGTTCGCGGGACAGTTGGCAGTGATTATAGTAGGGGCCAGTCAGGCAGGGGGCATAGCAGAGGTCTGGAGGAAAGCAAACAATGGCAGCCGGATTTCTGGACTAGAGTCAGTATTACACATCTGTACTCATCTGTTTTACCATCTGCTAAAAGACCCTTTGCTACAGGAACCTGTGTATATACCTCAGACATGCTAATGCTGTCCCCACTCTGTCTGTGTAGCCTGAACCCAGACCCTCTAGAGCGTCACACCTTCTGGACTCTGGGTGTGGGCGGAGTCTTCTTGATGCTGGCTCTGTACGGGGTCAACCAGGCCCAGGTCCAGAGATACCTAAGCTCACGCACAGAGAAAGCAGCCGTCATGTCAGTATCATCAACTTCTCTTTACATGCCCCCGACACATTTTCCTTTAAAATGTTGATTTCATGTGTTCCCTTATAACATCGTATGACGTTCATGTTTATAACCATGTCTCGTGGTCACGTTCTCAGGTCCTGCTATGTCGTCTTCCCGTGCCAGCAGATCGTCCTGTGTTTAGGTTGTCTGATGGGTCTGGTCATGTTTGCTCGCTATGGAGAGGACAGCCCTCTGGACAAGGGCTATGTCAAAACAAATGATCAGGTGATATTTTATCATAGTTTTGCCTTCATGCTTACCTAAATTATCCATATTATCCACCAGCTGCAATGAATTATTCTTGAAGGTCACAGGGTAGTTTGCATCCCCTGCTGACATCATGTGACTGGTCACCAGGCAATCTGGAATTCTAATGAGTTGTTTTATGTGTGTAGATGGTGCTGTACTTTGTGATGGATGTATTCAGGGATCTGCCCGGGCTCCCAGGCCTCTTTGTAGCCTGTCTCTTCAGTGGTGCTCTCAGGTAAATGAACCAGAAAAGAATACCTGAAAGTAAAAGATCCTCAGTCACCAGGTATAATTGCAAATGTTGAAAATCTGCCTGGTTGTCACAGTGGTGTCGCTCACTGTTTTAGTTTAATTGTATGAGCTTTGGCTTCAATCTTTAAATAATCAATATAATGAAATCCTCACAGACATCTTTTAAAGTTGGGTTAATGTTTAGGATAAAAGTTGGGGCAGTTGTGATTTTAAACGTTGGAGTAAAACTCCAGGGTATAATTGTTCTTATCCTCTTGTTGAAATGGTAAATCACACTACGCTACACCAAAGTGAATTTTCTTCCTCTAGCTGCAAATGAAATGTGAAGACAGTTACAGTCTGACATGCCTGTGCTGTGCAGATATCAATTTCTAATGAGGTAAAAATCAAAACAACAACCTTTAACTCACTTTGTTCTGTCTGTCCCACCAGCACCATCTCATCAGCCTTCAATTCCCTAGCTACAGTAACTATGGAGGACCTGATTAAACCTTATTTTCCAAACATGACTGAAGCCAAAGCCACACTGCTGTCTAAAGGACTTGGTAAGACAGCTGGCCTTAGTTTGAGTTTTTTCCTGAATTCGTACTTCAGATTTCCAAAGAAGTTTGTGGCTTTTGTTGTATCAAGTCTAAACACAGGGCATGTAGTTGTGTCTGAGTGTGTGTGGTTGTCTCAATTTTCAATGATGAGAGCCTGGAAATTATTGTTGTATTATTGAACTTTAGGAGAAAGAAGAAATAAAAGTCTGAACATGTTTAGATACTTGATAATGTATTTTTTTTCCACCACATTTTGTATATCGTCAGAAATTTAGTTGTAGTAAATGGCAGCGTATTCTGTAACATGTTATTGATTTAATTGTTACTAACAAGTAATAATAACCCTATTAACAGTAATATTAACAAACACAGGACGCAGTCATTTGTACCCACTTACTGCAATTTCTAATGCCTTCTGATAATGATCATTTGTTGGCGTGTGCTCCACAGCCTTGACCTATGGCCTGGTGTGTTTGGCTATGGCCTACATCGCCTCCATAATGGGATCTGTGCTGCAGGTAACTCTTCACAACATCCGAGCAGAAACACAGAGCTGCATTTTTGATGAAAAAACACAAAGACGTTTTTACCAGATAATTTATTTAAATCTCTGATCAGTCTGTGAAAAAGAAAACTGTGCAGTACAAAATAAGTTCATATGCAGAGATATTCATTCTATTAAGATTTAAACCTAGCTGCTCTACCATCTGTGTCCTCAGGCAGCCTTCAGTATCTTCGGGATGGTGGGTGGTCCCCTGCTCGGCCTCTTCTGTCTGGGAATGTTCTTCCCCTGGGCAAACTCGATTGTGAGTTGATGCTTTAATTTAGGAAGTTTTTACTGTTTGTTTCTGTTGTCATATATTGTACATATAATTGTAATATTGGAACATGGGATATGTCATTGACCACACTGCCTCCTCTTCTCTCTGCTACTCGCCTCAGGGCGCATTGGTTGGTTTGTTCACGGGCCTCGCCATGGCCTTCTGGATCGGCATTGGCAGTTTTGTGATGCGTATGTCTGCGTCCACCTCAGCACCTTTTCTCAACACCACTGCTCTGCCCCTGTTTGACAACATGACCACTGTCATGACCACACTGGTTACCACCGCCAAGCCAAGGTAATGTCAAGAAGGAACCTTATAAATGTGTGTTGGTTCCATTCTGTTTACAGGACTATGTAAAAGTAGATTAAACAATTCTTCACAACATAAAATCAAATATTTGTAAAATAAAAAATGTGATTTTTTTTGTCTTGTTCTTGTTTCTTTCATCTGCTCTTCAGGCCGACAGGTGTGAAGGCACTCTACTCATTGTCCTACATGTGGTACAGTGCTCACAACTCAACCACTGTGGTGGTGGTCGGACTTATAGTCAGCTTTTTAACAGGTACGCACACTTCTAGCTTCAAGTTCCAAACCCATAGTATCACTGACATTATTGCCACTGCAACCATCTGAGGTGCAGCGGCAATAACCACCTGCACCCCAGCTGATGTGACGCACACACAGATTCATCTCTCTGCTCTTTGATTTCACATCTGGAACAAGAATATTATGAGGATAATATTTTCATGTTAGTTCTGAATGCAGACAGTTGGTCAGAAAGAGACACTACTACTTCAGTGTATGTGCTGGGTGAGCAGCTGTCTCTGAAATGATTGGGCCGCACTGTTTGAAAGGTATCCCTGGGTGAGGTCTGGCCCTGCTCAGGCCTGCCATTAACATCCATCCTGAGAGACCCATCACAAGTGAACAGCATTAAGTCTGTGTGTTCACCCCTGATATTAAAATGCATCCTTAATGTGTCTGCTCTGACTTCTTGTGATCAGATCTTGCTTTCCTGCTAAATTAACCTGTTTGTGAAGTGCACCAGACTGTTCATGTGTCAGGGTATGTGTGTCTGCACGAGCGAGAGAGGTGTAGAGACAGAGAAATCAGGAGGTGACGAATTAAAGCTTGTGCAGCGCTGCTTACATGGAAATTTTGCCAATTTTCCAAAAGACCATGTGTTGCTCAGTGTGAAAATTGTGGCAATGTATGGACACTGAGAGGAGGGATGTTACCACCAGGTTGGTCATACCTCTGAAAGAGTGATTAGATGAAGGGATTGGAAGAGGACGAGTGAGTTACCAGTTCCTAGACAGTACTTGATTGGTTGAGGTTAACAGTGTCAGTGGTAATATGCTAAATAACTACATTAAAATAAGAATAGGTTGTTGCAAAATATTTATCAGATTACAAATGTTTGTATTATTTGGATCCTCTTATTAGACAAGAGTGGAACATGCATAGATAGTCAGATAGTCTTCATGTAATTTTCCACTTGTGATGTCCCTTACGATCATCTCCTGTGCCTCTGTAACTCTCCTCCCCACCTGTTTCATTTCATCTCAGTGTGTGAGTCTTTACTGTGTTTCACTGTCATTTGCTGTTGTGTTTCTCTCCTCTTTTCTATGTGTTGGGAGGAGATAAGAGACACACATTGAACAAGATGTAGAGCAGAGGAGAAACAGTTTGACAAGCCGTTATTTAAGTGCAGCAAAGCTTTCCAACATTTTATGAATCCCTCAAAAACCAAAGATAAACAGACACCAACCCAAATTGTCCCAAAAAAAATGGCTGAAATATCAGTGTATTTTAAACATGCACATTTTGGCGATAGTGGTGAGGATGCTAGTTTTGACAGGGATGCTAGTCCTGGCCCTAAACAAACATGTGAGGACAGGCTTTGACCCATCTTGGCAATCAGAGAATAAATAATCCGCCTGAAAAGTAAAAAAGTAGAGAGCACAGCCACAACTTCCCTCGCCCAAAAGCTATCAACCAAAATGGAAATATGGCTACACCAGTAAAAAGTGTAATTCTTACCTGTTCATGTGTCTCCACGTTAGGACCCATGAAGGAGAAGGAGCTGACCCCCGGCACAGTGTTTCCAGTCCTGGGCACGCTGCTGTTCTTTCTTCCTGAGCGCTACAGAGAAAAGCTCTGCTGCATTACTCCTCTGACTCCGAAGGTAACCTCGCATTTCCACTCCTGTGTTTCTGTCTGCTTTGTTCAGCCGAACCTGAGGTTTCAACACTCTTGTTTATTTTTCATCCGTGTTGACCAGCCCAAAGAAATCAACCCGCAACCTTATCACATGGCCAAGAAAAGCAGCAACGGAGCGGCGCACTGCAAAGAGGACTCGGTCACAGAGGACAAAGAGACGGAGTCACATGACGAAGACTTGGAAATTAAGATCTCTCTGTCCTCAAGTCCTCCGACGGCCCACACAGTTCAGGAGACGTCCTTGTGATCATTTTCTCATTAATTAATAACACACACACTCATACACACTTTGAATGACAGTGGTTGAGCCAGTTTCATTGAGGGAGATGCAGCTAAAGACTGATCTGTTGGTGGTTTTCACTGGCAGAATCAGTAGAAACATGATATAGAAAGGGCTTATGGAAGTCAGTATCTAGAAGTGTAGATGTGGGTTTTTCTTTTTCTTTTTTTTTTTTTTTACCTACCCTTTCCCAAACTGGAAGCTAACTTATGCCAAGCTGGAACAGGGCATACGCACAAATGACAGCGATCCATGAAAGAACTAGTCTGCTGGTGTCTGTCCAGATGTGTGCAGATGTTATGTGTGCAGTTTGAAGTTAAGAAACTGGGCAGCTCCTTTGCACAATGAGCTGTTCCACTGTGGCTGGGTCCTGTCATCACGTTTGACAAAAGAATAAGAATAATTCAGGTAGATGTAAATGTGTTATTTTTGTAGAGAGAGATGGCGGAACCATAGAATCCCAGAATATGTATCAGAGAATATAATATGAAAAAAAAAATGATGTCGAGAGACACCGAACTCCACTTGAAGGCATGACATGTCTGTGCTACTGTGATAGTGTGTTGTCTTTAAATGGCCTTGGTTTAACCCTAATAGTCGCCTTCTAGCTGCTATTATAAATGTCCCGTGACAAAGAGTTGATGAAAACAAAGCTGTGTGTTCAGAGGAGGGCAGACGTGGTGGTCAGACGGGGGCGGCCACATCAGATGGAGCAGAGTAAATCCTCGACTGACACAAGTAGAAATCAAGCCAGTGGGTGAACTGAGCTGCCCCCCCCCCCCCACACGTTTCCTCAGAGGAGGTTGATATTTTCCACTTCGGTCTCATGTTGAAGGATCTACTGTTCCTGTGATGTGAAACAAACCCCTTGCATATAATTAACAATCCTTAGTTATAGATTTTAGTACATTTGATTATAATTAATCATCACTGGCTGAGATGTTGGATTTATAATATGCAGCACATTGCATGCTGGGATTTAAGCATAAACCACTACTATGAATGTAGCGTCCATGTTGTTCAGTTGTTGGAACTTTTGAGCAAAATATTTTGAAAGTATTCAGACCCCTTGACTTTTATCACATATGTTTATGTTGTAGCTTTATGCTGAAAAAAATAGAAGTTCCTTTCCAATTATTACTCACCTTTTGTTAATTTAAAAGGAAAAACTGAAATATAATATATGTATATAATTATTCAGACACTTGAACTTTCTCTTTGTTGTCTTTGAGATCTTTTCACCTGTGGTTCATTCGATGAATGTGTACAGTTGTGTAGCTGAGGATGTATAAGTGTACAAACCAAGCTGCCAGGTGGAAGGAGCTGCCTGTAGAGCTCAGAGACAAGATTGTGTCTTAGGGAGGGCTGCAACAAAACTAGTGCTTCATTGGAAGTTCTCAAAGAGCCACAGTGGCCTCCATAACTCTTAAAAAGAAAGAAGTTCGAACTACCAGGACTCTTCCAAGAATTGGCTGTACAACCAAACAGAGCAGTCATGGGGAGGAGAGACCTGGTAAGAGAAGTGATTGTATTGATGTGATACTGAATGTACATTGATCTGAGAAAGTCGTTTTTATTTTTAGCATAAAGATGCAACATAAATAACAAAATGTGAAAAGTGAAGGGGTCTGAAACCTTAAGAATTCACTGTAACTTTTAAAACGGCATCCTTTGACTTGGACTGGTGTTTTTAAAAGAAATGCTGCGAGGAGTAGAGTGAATCTGTTGATCGGGGAAGTTTGTGTTTAGTGGACAGTCACACATCTTAATCAGAGTTGTGTTGCTCACACACAACCCCATGAAATGAGGTTCCTCACTGGCCTGGTGTGAGCACTCTAGCTTTTATTAGGTATCTTTGGTTTCCTATTGTTTCGAACTTCACAAGTGGCTCAGTTACATTTATAAACATCACTCTAGGACGTTAACACATCTCCCGTGGGTTTAAAGCCGCTCTCATCGGATGTGTCTGCCCTGAATGAAGCCCACTCTGCTCAGAATCACACAGAAGCCATCTTGACCTTCAGATGGACCTACTTTATTTACATCAGGCACCTCCTTGATGTAATTGCCTGTGAAGATGATTCAGTCTTCTCTGATTATTTTGTATCGTGAACATGATAAAGTGCATCTTTTTTTTCTTCTTCTTATATTTGAGGTTGTCAGTGCCATGTTGCGTAATAGTGTGTGGTTTGGACCGTTTGGTCCACCTCGTCATCGTAATGTCTCAGCTTTTTTGGAATCACAGAATTCTTGACCATCACCACTTCCCCATTTTAGGTCATTCATTGTCACTGTGATGTGTTGTGTGTGTGTGTGTACGTGAGTTCAATGTTTTCTGTCGGTACTGTCTATGCTCCTTGACAGTGGACTCCATGTCAAGGGCCGGTTGTGATGTGATACAGTGTGTCTGTTTTCTGCAGGTTATGGTGAGTACATGTTTCCGTCGCCTTACACCTTCCTCTTTAAAGCAACACTATGTAACGCTTACAGAGCAACAGCGCCCTCTGCAGACACACGTGGTGATTCATTTTGTCGGGCTCCGTGTCTGAGCGATTAAGTGCTTTTCATGTATAGAAAAAAAGCTGCCTCTCAATGGACGTCATGCAAGAACTGCAAACATTTAATATTAGGGAGCGAGAACGAGTGATTTAGGTATGAACAGAACTGACAAGTTGTCCAGACTTGTTTCAGTAGTTTGAAGCAAGTATATACATATAATATACAAATAAGCCCTCATAATTATGTTGACACTATCTGAGCTTCTAAACAGCTCTGCTTTAGTCGGTCTCTGACGCTGCTAAAAAGTCCAGACTTTTCTCTCTGGATCTTTGAAATCAGGAATTCAATCTCTGTAAACCTTTTTGTCTTTTTACTTTGAACTCACTTTCATGAATGAACACTTATTGGGGAATCAATTATGCTAATTTGCTTTCCTCGTGCCTGCCCCCTCAAAAAGGTGGCATTTATCATGTTTACACATTATCACACTATGGAAGTGTTTCTTGACTCTAACGGGTCATGTTCGTACAAACTGATCATACGAAGAAATGACGGAGAACTTTAGGATAAGAATAGAAGCATATTCTTGCATGAGGCCCAATGTGTCGCGGAATGCTACTGGCTGAACCTAAACACAACTAGCGATGGATATTACCTATGATCCCCGGCTTCCTTAACCAGAAGAGCTAATATTCTAGATAAACGCTGTAACTTTTCCTTTTGAAGGTCAACTGTGTAAGATTTAGGTGAAAAGGATCTATTGGCAGAAATGAAATATATAATAACCCTAGTGATGTTTTCACTTGTGTGTTTCATCTAAATTGAATGAGCCCTTTATATTTAAATACTTTATATTTACATCGAGGGGGTCCTCTCTACGGAGGCCGCCATGTTTTTTACATTAGTCCAGACTGAACAAACTAAACACCTTTTGAGTTTTTATGACAACTGAAAGCTACCACAGGTTCTTTTTCATGTTTGCAAGGAGAGGGTGAGGGTAGGGGTGTTCAGCTGCAACATGCAACTTCACCACTAAATGTCACTAAATTCTACACACTGAACCTTTAAACTGATCTACAGTTCAACATTATTTTGATCTTGTTGGACGGGATTCTGACAATTTTAGCTGCGATTATCAGTCAGTTCCACACTTTTCACGTGAGATCGTATCCGCTCTCCAAAGTTACATAGAGCCAGAACAGAGGTTCAGAGTTAAGAAATGAAAGCTGAAACATTTTTCTATTGGGAGTCACTGAACCGTCAAACTCATTTTAATATTTTAAGGTGATAAGGTTGCATAGTGTTGCTTTAATTTCTCAGTTGCAGTTGTGTTCTCAGTACTCACCAGGCAATCAAGGTGACACAGTTCAGCAGCAGAATTGTAAATCTGCTTAGTTAATGTCATATTGCTTTGAAAAGGATTATGGGCCTTGGGGACTCCGCACCCCTCTGTTGGAATGTTGATCCCTTTTAAAACCATGTTCAGCACCGGCCTATTACACTACCAACATGTTTGTACCATCACCCTGACATTTAGAAATACCTCAATTTATCCCAAAGCATATAGAATATGAATCTTCTTTCATGTTTTATATATTTTTTTTTTTTTTTACCAACAGATGTATTTGAGATCTCATTTGTATATTTTTGTAATTTCACGTAAAGCCTGCGAACATTTCATGACATGAAATGTGGAATTCTATATGCAAGAACCATGAAATGTTTTTATGTTGTCGGTGAATGTCAGACAGAAGAGGGGAATGCGACAGTCCACATGAAGATCTCCACGAACTGGAGCATCACACGTTTGTAGCGTTCTGTCAGAGCACGAGCATCTTTTGCCTTAGACAGCGTTTCACTGTCACACCCCCAATCTACTGTGACTGTCAGATTCACGCTTTGTTCAAAACATTTAATGGTTCCAAGAGATTTTTTTTACCTACTTTTAAATTCCATGTGACTGCGTGTACTTTATTTATGATTGCATTATGTGGAATCCTCCTTCATACCTGAAATTACTTGAAGTGTGAGTCTGAAAATTTAATAATACACAATTAAAGCCCTTCTTTAATGTGAGGGAACATATAATTCAAGTGCTGGCATTGATAATAATAATAATAAATAATGTCCATTTTAAAACTCTGACTGCTAACGCACCTAATAAAGCACAATGAGGTCAGTGCTCGGTAGTCGTGCTACTGGAGGAGAACCTGACTAAAGCCATCAGTTGGTGTAAAGCAATTCAGATACGTCTTCATGATGATGTTTAGCTTTAGACTTTCTGTAAGGACCTGATTATTTTATCATTTGTGGCCTTTTTTACTGGAACGCACAATAATACAGCTGAGAATACGGTTTGTGAAAGAGAAGCAGGGACACTTAGTAATTTCCAGCAACAATAAATATTGTTTTGAACAATATTTATTATGTTTGTTGTCCCACCCACCAAGAATTCTTCCTGTGATGCATTCCAAAAAAAAAAAAAAACAAAACCCCAGAAGCACTGGAGTCATGATATGGTTCCTCTGCTTTGGTCTGTGCCTTCATTATTATCTTTATAATTTTTGATGAGTTTCCTGAAGTACCTGTGAAGTTTTCATCCACAGCCCAGGTCTGAACCATGAGACGTCTGTCCCAGAGTGGAACAAACCTGGAATTATGAATGAATAAATAAATTGTACCATGTAATAATTTATTTCTGGAATAATGCAAAACATTGTTTTATTCTCTTTAAGTGGCGAAGGAGAATCCTCTGCTGCGATGGTGTAATAATGGTCCTGTGGGTAGAAAACGTAGGTGATTAGAACAAATAACCAGCAATTCGTGAGAAAGTCTTTTATCCATCATTCAACATGTGTCTGCTACAAATGAGCTACTAGTAGCAGCAGAAGAAGGACACTAACACATTTATCTTCTAATATGATGAGTGCAATAACTGGAGTTATTGCAAAATGTAAAAGAAAAACCATCAACCAGACGTTTGTCA